AAAACACAAACACACACACACACACACACACACACACACACACACACACACACAGTTACCCAGCGCAGTGGCACATGCCTGTAATCCCTGAACTTTGGGAGGTCAAGGGAAGAGAATTACTTGAGCCCAAGAGTTCAAGACCAGCCTGGTCAACATAACAAGACCCTATCTCTACAAAAAAATCATAAAATTAGGCAAGTGTGGTGGCACACCCCTTTAGTCCCAGCTACTAAGGAGGCTGCAACAGAAGGATCACCTGAGCCTGGAAGCCTGAGAGTGATTGTGCCACTGTGCTCCAGCCTAGATGACAGAGTGAGATTTCAACTCAAAAAAAAGAAAAAGAAAAACCATAAGGGAAGGATATTGCTCTCTGTGCTAGATATTGAAATTTGCATTATGAGTATGTAAAATTCGAGGCTTCAGCTGGGCTCGGTGGCTCAGCCTGTAATCCCGCGCCTTTGGGAGGCTGAGGTGAGTGGATTGCCTGAGCCCGTGGGTTCAAGACCCGCCTGGGCAGCGAGACCTCATCTCTACAATAAATCAAAAAATGAGCCGGGCGTGGTAGCGCACGCCTGTAGTTCCAGCTACTTGGAAGGCTGAGGCAGAAGGATCGCCGGAGCCCAGCAGGTCGAGGCTGCGGTGGCCGGGAGCGGCCACTGCACTCCAGTCTGGGCAACAGAGTGAGACTCCAACTAAAAAAAAAAAAAAAAAAAATTCTAGGCTTCAATAACTTTTATGCAATCAAGATAAATATGCAAGATAAATATGACAGAGCAAAAAAGTGGAGGAAAATTGAGTAATGTTATTGAGTTTGGAATTAAGCAGTCCTAGAATGATACTACAGTTGGACTTCTTATAGTGTGATATAATCAAGTCTCTTCTTGTTTAACATTTTTGAGTTGTTTTTTTTCCTTGCAACCAAAACATCCACACTGACAAGAAACATCCACACTGACAAGAGTGATTTTTAATTATACAAATATTCTTAATAGGCAAAGCAATGAATAATACATATAATAGACAAATTGGTCAGAGGTTGCCATCTTATAGTTACCCAAGATTACTCTCTTATCTAAAATTATTTTTAAATCCATTAAAATGCCTTTTCCAGTTTAATCCCAAATAAATTAGAATTTCAGGGTTGCTTCCAGGTTACTGTCCCAAAGCCCGTCAATGTCCAGGAATGCAGCAGTTGCCAAGGTCCGCTTCATTGCCACGATTTTCTTTCTTGTTGCAGCGCATCCTATGAATCCTGTAGCAGCAGTCCCTAAAGTAACCAAGAATGCCTCCAACATACCTCACTACTTCCTCACTCAAAAAGCAGCAAGTTTAATATTGGTACAGAGGGCTGGAAAGTTTGAATGCAAAATATGCCACAAGAACCAAAGGACTCATTCAAATGTCGAGCACACGAATACAGACTTCTGCCTACCCATACAAATACACGTTTTGTTTCTTTCTTGAGTGTAACATAATCTAAATTAAAGGCCGGGAACTTATCCCATTCCCAAATTGCTAGGGTATAGTCATAATTCTTCAGTATGCTCATGCTTCAATATCATCCAGTCCCTGAATGAAGTTGCTGATATAGGTTCCCTTATCATTCAAGGGCCTGCTCTGCATTTATAGAGTCATCCCATTGTGTGTAACCTATCTGTGACAGGTTTTTTGTCCACAGGAGCAAAGCAAGATTCCTCTCCAAACACTTACCACAGTTTTGTTCATCTGAGCTATCATTACAGTCGTGATCTTCGTCGCATACCCAGTAGTGGGGGATGCATCGCCCATCACTCTGACACCTGAAATAGCCTGTCTGGCAGGTCCTGGGAGCTAAAACAAACCAAAAAAGAACTCATTATGACAAGCATCTGCTCCAGTAAGCAATGCTTGTTTCAGAAGACTATATGTTAACTCTGACTCAATTTATTTGAAGGCAAATTGTAGACAGCTCTTATACTAGAGTCTGTGGGCTCTAATCAGAGTTCACTGTCAAATAACCTCAGCAATGGCATCACAACAAACTGATGATCCAAAGCAACATAAAAACACAGAGAATAAAACAAACAGTCCCAGCATACGTACACACAAATTCAGGTCAAAAATATTAAATTAAAATTTTGATTTGGCCGGGAGCGGTGGCTCACATCTATAATCCCAGCACTTTGGGAGGCCGAAGTGAGAGGATCACCTGAGTCCACAAGTTCAAGACCAGCCTGGGCAACTTGGCAAGACCTCATCTCTATAATAAATCAAAAATTAGCCAGGCATGGTAGCATGTGCCTGTAGTTCCAGCTACTTGGAAGGCTGAGGCGGAAGGATCACCTGAGCCCAGCAAGTTAAGGCTGCGGTAGCCATGAGTGTGCCACTGTATTCCAGCCTGGGCAACAGAGTGAGACTCCAACTCAAAAAAAATAATAATAAAGTCACTTAAAGGCTTCATAAAACTGCACCCAATTTTGTTTCCATATCAAGATCCTGTTCGAGATACAAGGGAAAGATAGAAACTGAAGTGAATTGAACCCCTACCTCAGAAGGGGGTGAAAATTGTTAATGCCGTCACTTATCTATTCAACCACATAGCTCTCAACAGCCCAGCCCTGGATCTATCACTAAAAGGCACAGCTCTTGTCTTTGTTAAGGTGAAATCAACAGGAGGTACTTAAATTACTCAAAATAGAGCTTAGCCTGGCCTCTCCTCACTTACCACAGTCAGCTTCATCTGAGTCATCTAAACAGTCTTTGGTCCCATCACACCTCCAGGAAGCAGGGATACAATGCCCATTTCCACAGCGAAACCGCCCACTGCCACATTCTGTAGTAACACAAGCAACAGAAAGACATTTTAAAAACTTATGCACACAGATACCCAACAGAAGAAAGACAATTTAATAAAAAATTACTTAGCTAAGTAATAAAAGGAATGCATATTGCTTTAAAAAATTAGGAAAACGTTCTCATAATGATAATATAAAAATATTTATTTGGAGGCCTGCGGGAAGAGGGTCAGTTTCATACAGAGTTGATCAGAGTGCACCTTGATGTGATCAATTTGAAAAGCAATTTGACAACAGATATCTTGTTTTTAAAAAAATGTTTAGCAGGGCTTAGGGGCTCACACCTGTAATCCTAGCACTTTGGAAAGCAAGAGGCAAGAGGATTGCCTGAGCCTAGGGTTCAAGACCAGCCTGGGCAAATTGATGAGATCTCATTTCTACAATTAAAAAAAAAAATAGCTAGGCATGGTGACACAGCACCAGTAGTTCCAGCTACTTGCATGCCTGTGAGCATACCACTGCACTCCAGCCTGGGCAACAGTGAGAATCCAACTCAAAAAAAATTTTTTTAATAATAAAAATGATTAAAATGTTTAGCTGGGCGTGGTGGCTCACACCTGTAATCCCAACACTTTGGGAGGCTGAGGTGAGAAGATTGCCTGAGTCTGTGGCTTTGAGATCCGTCTGGGCAACTTGGCGAGACAATAAACATCAAAAACTAGTCAGGCATGGTAGCGCACACCTGTAGTTCTGGCTACTTGGAAGGCTGAAGTGGAAGGCTTGCCGGAGCCCAGCAGGTTGAGGCTGCGGTGGCCAGGAGGGAGCGTGCCACTGCACTCCAGTGTGGGCTATGGAGTGAGACTCCAACTCAAAAATAAAAATTTAAAAATTTAAAAAATAACTGGACATGGTGACACGGCACCTATAGTTCCAGCTACTTGGAAGGTTGAGACAGAAGGATCACTTGAGTACAGCACGTTGAGGCTACATGGCTGTGAGCATGCCACTGCACTCCAGCCTGGGCGACAGTGAGATTTCGACTCAAAAAAATAAAAATAACAATGTTTGCTCTTGCCAGGCACAATGGCTCACGCCTGTAATCCCAGCATTTTGGGAGGCCAAAGCAAGAGGACTGCCTGAGCCCAGGGGTTCAAGACCAGCCTGGGCAACTTGACAAGACCTGATCTCTACAATAAATAAAAAATATTAGCTGTGCATGGTGGCACATGCCTGTAGTTCCAGTTACTTGGAAGTCTAAGGCAGGAGGATCACTTGAGACCTACAGGTTGAGGCTGCGGTGGCCTTGAGCATGCCACTGCACTCCAGCCTGGGACAGAGTGAGACTCCGACTCAAAAAAAAGAAAAAACTTAATACTTTTACTTATAGGGTGTTTTTTTCCCTAAGGAACTAACCAGAGAACTAAGCAAAGATTTATGTATAAAGATTCTAATCACAACATTATTTATAATAAAGGAAATTTCAAAACTCAAATGTTCAATAATTTAAAAGGATAATATTTTCTTATATCTATATATTGACATATTACAAAAGTAACTTACAAAAATGATTATAAAGAAATTTTAACTATTTGGAGAATATTATATTTATAATATAATGTAGCAAAGATAAGGATGTCAATGTTTACCTACAACATAGTTAATATACACCCTCCCCTCAGAAAAGGGTAAAAGAAGATCAGTATGTTAACAGTGGTTATCTCTGATTGATAACAACATGAGTAATTTTTCATTCGCTTGACTGCGCTTTTTTGATCACGGCCACTGCAGCCTTGACCTCCTGGGCTTAGGGGATCCTTCTGTCTCAGCCTTCTAAGCAGTTGAAACTATAGACTCCTGCCATCATACCCAGTTAATTTTTTTATTTATTGGAGAGACGAGGTCTCGCCAAGTCGCCTAGGCTGTTCTCAAACCCCTGGTCTCAGGCAATCCTCTTGCCTCAGCCTACCAAAGTGCTGGGATTACAGGCATAAACCACCGTGCCTGGCTCCCCATCCTATATTTTTTAAGTGACTTTTTTATTACTAAGTCCTTTATAGCAAGTTATGGTCCTTCATTCTTAGATTCAGACCAATATTTTTGCTTCTATTTTTTAAAACAACTTTGTGAGTTGCCAGATTTGCAAGCTCATCTCTGCAACCAATTAAAAAGTAAAAAAGAGCCAAAAACAAACAACAACAAAAATCTCTACCACCAACCAGTGTGTACAAACTTGGCACTAAAAGTTGCCAAATCCCCAAGTGGTCGATATTCTCTAGTGATACTAGAAGGAGACTATAACTTAACCAAGTTCATTTCATTGAACAAATATATCCTGTGATTTTTCCTGGGTCTCCCCAGGGGACTAATCTGGCAGTTGGAAAGCCTCCAAACTTCCCCAAATATCTGGCCAGTGAACTTCTCAAGCATTATTGCCAAATAGAGCTTTTTTTTTTACAGAGAGCAGCCAACCCAGCCCAACTTGAAAAAGACTCAAAATTATTCTTTCACAAACCCAAGGGATAAAGGAGTAACTTTTGGAGTTGGAAGAATAGTTATATTTTCCCCATGTATTTAAGCAACATGCTAAATTACCCATTTCCATTTATGGCTAATTAACCCAACATTAGGTAAATATACAAATCAATTACCTACTCCTAAAATAAATAAACAGTGTGCTATCTTGACTTGTATGAATGCAGGCATCAACAGCATGGCATAAACATAGTTAAGTGATCTATTCCTAGGGTCTATAGGCTACTTTGTTCATGGAATGTTCAAATCTGATTGTCTGGTAGTGACATCCTGATTTATAACGTATGCTTCAAATGGTCAGAAACTTCCCTGGGCTAAATGGTGGTACCGAGTGGTACAGGAGTATGTACACCCAAATACCTTCTATAGACTAATGCATGATGGTGGTTGGTGGTGCAGGTCTGGGGTTGGTGGTGCAGGTCTCTTATCAACTACCTTTAAAACACAACAACCTCCCTTGCAAAAATGCCCCCTAAGGAATGCACAAATTCACTCTGGAATCCCAGAACTTCTCATTGGATTTTGTTCTGCAAAGCAATATTTCCATGGGAGATTAGGGGCTTTGGAGGTTTAGCTATTAACACGACATATATTAAATCACTTTTATCAATTAGGTCTATTGTTAGTAATCCAACGTAATACATTTGTAAGTTCAGGACATTTGACTCCCTTAGTATCTAATAACTTCTGGTTTGAAAAATTATAATATAAAAAACAGTCCACTTGAGAGTTTCATATTGCTATAAGAAAAAGTAAAGCAAAAACATAGAACCTGAGATTTAGAAGAAAATTCTAAGAACAATATATTGCCTGTTTTGAAAACACATATAATTAATGCTATTTTTAAGCAATTTTTATTACAAGACAAAGTTCGAGAGGTTTATTTTTTGTTTTTGCTAAAACACCAAGTTAAACACATCATTAAAAAAAATAGACATCCATAAAGTCATTTTTAAAAAACACTTCAAAGTCAATTATTTAAAATCACACATATAAAAAAAGAAACTGATGGGGAAATGTTGCAATTAAGTAACTTTTTATAGGTAATGATTTTCACATTTGCTCTCCCAATCACTTAATTATCAGACATATTAAATCCAATTTACCCAATTTATCAATAGATCCATGATAACTTATCAGAGTCACCTTTGCAATAGTAACTTCCATGCCTGTTATAACTCCTAAATGACTATTGTTTGGAAATATCTCTCTAAAAAAACAAACGGACACTTAATCATTGCTGGGCAGCCTCTCAGCAATCAGCCAAAATGTTCCACCAGCAGCAGAAGCCTATCATTCATCCTATTATAAAGGGAATATGTGTTGTTTAAAAAGTCTAGATTAAGTCTGATAATAATGCCAGGTGCTCCTGACTTCAGTTGGTTTACATGCACTTCATTTTCTGAGTGTTCTGTTTTAAGTAAGTAGCCTTCACTCACAAGTTTACTGAATATTATCTGCACTTCATTGTTTAATTATTTGAAGTTAAAAAGGGAAGGAGGGATGATTTCATACACTGGAGCCACTCAGAGTCTAAAAGAGAAAAAAATTACATAGAGAAAGCTTTGCAACTTTGTTCCACAAATAGTCTCTAAACACACATATTCAACAAATCCAGTTTTAACCAAGAGGTAATTTTGCAAAAAATCACTTATGTAACTTTAAAACATTTTCCTTCTAATAAAAACCAAGGAGGAAAAGATCATAATCCACATAGAAATAACAGCTTTTTGTTAAGAACCAGGCAGTAGCCGGGCTCGGTGGCTCAGCCTGTAATCCCACACCTTTGGGAGGCTGAGGTGAGTGGATTGCCTGAGCCCGCGGGTTCAAGACCCACCTGGGCAACTTGGCGAGACCTCATCTCTACAATAAATCAAAAAAAAAAAAAAAAAAAAATGAGCCGGGCGTGGTAGCGCATGCCTGTGGTTCCAGCTACTTGGAAGGCTGAGGCGGAAGGATCACCGAAGCCCAGTAGGTCGAGGCTGCGGTGGCCAGGAGCGGCCGCTGCACTCCAGTCTGGGCAACAGAGTGAGACTCCGTCTCCCAAAAAACAAACAAACAAACAAGCAAAAAAAGAACCAGGCAGTCATCAAAAAGTAGCCTTCTGAACCTAATGAACACCTATCTCCCCAGCACTACTCTTTGCCTTTCCCAGGAATCAGAATAGATGGTGCAAAGATGAAAAAAACCACCCGTAAGCATGCATCCTTCTAAGCACTTTGCTATCGTTAGCTCACTTAATCCTCATAACAACCCTATGAGATCGATACCATTATTATGAACTTCTCACAAATAAAGAAATTCAGGCACAGAGAAGTTAAGTAAGTTGCCCAAGATCCAATAACAAATATGCACAAAGCAAGGACTTGAACCTGACAGTTCTGGTTCAGCATGAGTGCTCATTGACCACTAGTCTCTGATCCCTTGCGCACATGCACACAAAAAATTGTGGCTCAAGTTTGTAATCTCAGCACTTTGGGAGGCCAAGGCAAGAGGATTACCTGAGCCCAGGGGTTCGAGACCAGCCTGGGCAACATGGTGAG